TCAATCCTTTGCAGCCAATGCCCAATATGTCGCAAGCTGCTTTCCAATTCCCCAACCAAGTACCTCAGCAGAACATGGCTCCTCCCACCCAGCCACTCTCACATCGCCGTAATCAGTCGGCACTCCCAAACATGGGCATGGGACCTCCTCCTGCGCCCTCGTCTGGTGCTTCTGGATCCGGGTTTGGCAACTTTGAAGCCCCTCAAGCCCAGGGTCGAGAGAATACTGGCGGCCGAGGCGGCCGTGGTGGAGGTGCTGGTGGTGGTCATCAAAGAAGACACTCTCTAGCCCTCGCCGACGCCAAGAAAGCCGCCGAGATTGCCCAACAGAAGCGAACAACCACCGGCTTCTCCTTCCCTGCCTCTCCTGCCCCTGACGAGGAGAACAAGCCCGCTTCCCAGTCCACCCTCGATGTTCCTGTTGCTCAGGGCTCGACCCGCGGTGGACGTGGTGGTCATGGCCGCAGCCAGAGCATGGCGGTTAATGGCCGAGGCGGCGGCCGTGGTGGTTTGAATGCTGAAAGCAATGAATTTCAACGCCGCGGAAGCGGCCATGCCCGTACCGGATCTCGCAACTTCGAAGGTAACTGGCGTACTCAAGGACAGGGCCAGGAACAGTCTGGCAATGCCGGACAGAGCCAAGGCTTCCAGCCTGGTCACCGACCTCGCGGATCTATGAACCAGTCCGTCTCGGGAATTGGAGGCTTTCAGTATAATCCCAATCAACCTCAGGTTATGCAGCTCCCCAACCAGATGATGATGCCCCAAATGTATGGGCAGCAGCTCAATCCCATGCAGCTGAACCAGCTACAGGCTTTGCAAGCCGCTCAGATGAATGGTCAACCGTTTATGGGTCTCCAGGGCTCCCAGCATGCTGGCCAGCTTGGTGGCCAGCAGCAGCAACAACAGCGAAAGACCCTTTTTACCCCCTATCTCCCCCAGGCCTCCCTCCCCGCTCTTTTGGCTGATGGGCAGCTCGTGTCTGGTATCCTCCGTGTCAACAAGAAGAACCGTAGTGATGCTTATGTTACCACTCAGGATGGTCTGCTTGATGCTGATATCTTCATCTGTGGTAGCAAGGATCGAAACCGTGCTCTCGAAGGTGATCTAGTTGCTATCGAGCTTTTGGATGTTGACGAAGTTTGGGGCCAGAAGCGTGAGAAAGAGGAGAAGAAGAAACGCAAGGACATTACGGATACTCGATCCGGATCTACTAACCAAGGTAACCAAAACTCTGGCAATAACAACGATGGGAACGCTCCCGAGGGCGGAATTCGTCGACGTGGTAGTCTCCGTCAGCGCCCCACTCAAAAGAAGAACGATGATGTGGAAGTTGAGGGCCAGAGTCTCCTCCTTGTTGAAGAGGAGGAAATCAACGACGAACAGAAGCCCCTCTACGCCGGCCACGTTGTTGCTGTTGTTGAGCGTGTTGCCGGTCAAATGTTTTCTGGCACTCTTGGCCTACTCCGCCCTAGCAGCCAAGCTACCAAGGAGAAGCAGGAGGCTGAGAGGGCTGCTCGTGAAGGTAATAACTCGCGCCACCCCGAGCCTCGCCAACAGGAGAAGCCCAAGATTGTTTGGTTCAAACCCACAGACAAGCGTGTGCCGCTTATTGCCATCCCCACCGAACAGGCACCCCGCGACTTTGTTGAAAAGCACCAAGACTACGCGGATCGGATCTTTGTGGCTTGCATAAAGCGCTGGCCCATTACCTCTCTCCACCCCTTTGGAACTCTGGTTGAGCAGCTTGGACGCATGGGTGATCTTAAGGTTGAAACCGATGCTCTTCTACGCGACAACAACTTCGCTTCAGATGAGTTCTCTGATGCCGTGCTCCGCAGTGTTGGCCTCCAAGACTGGTCGCTTGATAAGGAGGACGATGCAGCCCTCGCTGAGCGTCGTGACTACCGCGACGAGAATGTTTTCACGATCGACTACAATGGAGGAGCTGAGCTCGGCAATGCCGTGCATGTCAAGTCTCGTCCTGATGGCAAGATTGAGATCGGCATTCACGTAGCTGACATCGCACACTTTGTTAAGCCCAACTCCCTGGTGGATCGGGAGGCTAAGAAGCGAGGCACCTCCGTTCAACTCAAGAATCGCTTCTGCGCCCTGCTGCCGCCCAAGCTATCGGCTGAAGTTTGTTCTCTGACCCCCGAACAGGACCGCCTCGCTGTGTCCGTAGTATTCAACGTGAATCCTCACACTGGCTCTGTCGCCGAAGGTGATTCATGGATTGGCCGCTCGATCATCAAGAGCGCCGGCAAGGTTTCTCTTGACGATATTGATGATGCTCTAACAAACCCCTCGGAATACAAGAACGCAGCTGTTCCTGTCAACACGATACAGATTCTCAACGCTGTGTCACAGAAGTTCCGAGAAGCTCGTCTCGGCGCCGGTGGCGAACCCATTGCACCTCTAAGACTGCTTCAGCAACTCGATGACGAGAACGACCCCGTTCAGGACAACCTCTTCGACTCGACGCAGGCTCTTGAGCTTGTGGAAGAACTGATTCACAAAGCCAATGCCCATGTGGCACAACGTCTTGTTGAGGGGCTTCCTGAGAAGGCTTTCCTTCGTCGCCAGTCTGCTCCCAACCCCCGCCGACTTCAGACTTTCGTCGAGCGCATGACAGCGTTGGGCTATGATATCGACTCATCTGGCAGCGGTGCCCTCCAGAACAGTCTCTTCAAGGTTGATGACCCAGATCTGCGAAAGGGTATGGAGACTCTAGTTGTCAAGTCGATGCAGAGGGCCAAGTACTTTATTTCAGGTAAGACTGCAAAGCAGCTGTGGCCCCACTATGCTCTCAACCTGCCTATATACACTCATTTTACCAACCCAACCCGGCGCTACGCCGATATTATCGTCCATCGACAACTCGAGGCTGTTCTCTCTGAGGGCAAGATCGAGTTTACTGAGGATCTGGAGAACCTCGTTAAGACCGCCGAATCTTGTAATACTAAGAAGGATTCCGCCCAGAACGCCCAGGAGCAGAGTGTCCACATCGAGTCATGCCGAACGATGGATAAGAAGCGCCAAGAGGCCAACGGCGACCTCATTGCTGAGGGTATCGTCTTGTGTGTATACGAGTCTGCGTTTGACGTTCTCATCCCTGAGTGGGGATTCGAGAAGCGAGTTCACTGTGACCAGCTACCTCTGAAGAAGGCCGAGTTCCGAAAGGAGAAGCGGGTTCTTGAGCTTTACTGGGAGAAGGGCGTTCCCAGTTCGGCGTTTGTGCCAGAGGATGAGCGACCTAAGGCTGCCGCGTCCATCCGACACTCAAATGCTCTAGCAGCTCAGCGCCAGGCTGAGGAGGCTGAGCGTGTCCGAAAGGAGCGTGAGGAAGCTACTCGCAAGCAAACTGATACCGGTACCATCTCAACTGATGACGTTGATGCTCTTTTCGACGATGACGACGACAACACATCCGACGTGACTGAGGCTATGGCCGGAGCCTCGCTGGCTGAGCGCCCTACTCAGAGCGTCCCCGGCTCCCCGGCTCGCTCCTCATCCAACGCCGGCAACCTGCATCGCACTCGTTCCGATTCCAAGGTACCTGTGGCGGAGGCTGTCGAGACTCGCCTCACCAACAAGGAGAAGTACCTCAGCTTCTTTTCGCTTCGCGAGGAGGGTGGTGACTACATCCAGGATGTGACAGAGATGACAAGGGTACCGGTTATCCTGAAGACGGATCTCACCAAGAGCCCACCGTAAGTCACCTTGTTTTAGAGAAGAAGTATTGTGCTAACCGATGGACTAGTTGCCTGACCATCCGATCTCTGAACCCATATGCTCTGTGAAAGGACAAACAAAAGTTAGCTGGCGATTGTAATGGGGACAATGTAGTGCGTAGTTTTTAGGACGGACTACTTGGTCGAGGAAGAAGATATATCTATGTTTGTGTGAGGAGTATTGCCAGACGGAGAAGATTGCCAGAAGGAGACGGACTTTTAGGTAGTGGTATTAGTTAAACAGCGGAAGTAATCTCGTCTTTTCTCAAGCAGTATATGGTTACCCCGTTTGTCAATGTGCTGTTTGCCCTAAGTTTTTGAAAGCGTTTCCATCTGTTTGTTGGAAAACGACTAGAGCTTGTACTGGACTACGTACCTAGGTATGTAGGATTTCTGGAGGCTCTTTGCAAGGCAATCGTGAATTATTTCAACTATCAGGCGAAGACGGCTACATTGTTTTGCCGCCTTTGTTTTGTTCCGATTCTGGGTTAGTCAGCCCAGCAGTGGCACAGAAGAGCCTAGATTACAGTTATCAGATTCAAACTATTAACTTTACTTTAGCCTTTTGGCTTCTTTTGCAGGGTTGATATGTATCATACGTGTTTCGGCCAATGACCGGACCGAGCAATGCTTATAACGGGCCAAATAAGGCAGTGAGGGGATTTCGGGATCTCAGGACAGTGTTTCATCATCATCCCTGGGCTACCTACAGCGTTACATTGTAGATATATTACATGTGCTCTGCCATATCTCGGGACGGTTTCATGGCTCGCGTTTGACGTCTCAGATCGTGGGACGGCAAACCCCGGATAGTCAAGGTCACTGCTAAGTCAGCGGAAACGTTTGAAGGGGAAGCTTGTTAAACACGGCTATCTGGCGTTCCTGGACATCGTCCTCTCTTGGCATCAGTGGTGAGGCATGCTTAACACCCCTGTGATATCACGGATGCTGTGCCAGCCGAACAAGTCAAGATGACGATCCCGGCGTTGAGAATCAGAATATTAAGGCTGTGATATCCACGTTGTTCTAGTTTTGTTTTCTCGATCTGACTTGACTTGACTTATAAAGACGGTTTTGTCCTTTCGTTTACACTCGCTCGTTCAATAAGCGCTGGCCTGCTTTTGATACCTTAATTCCTATTACATTCGATTCGATTCTTCAACTGAGTTCAATCTCATTGTTTAATATCTTTTTTTATTACTTCTGACACTTATTTCCATTACTCTCCTTGCTGGCTGGTCCGACACGTTCCTTTCGATTATATAACATGGCATCTCTCAAGACTCTTCTCTTCGGCCTCTTCGCTACCACGGCTTTGGCGATGCCTTCTGGCCCTCGGTTCACCAAGAGGCAACTTCAGTATCACGATTTGTCCAAGCGCCAGAATGATGCTGCTGCTGCTGCTGGCCTCAGTGACTTGGATATCCTCCAGTTGTAAGTCTTGATAGCATAGCCAGCCCTGTCACACTAAACGGCCCAACTAACACGCTCAGCGCCCTGACACTGGAGCATCTTGAAGACACCTTCTACCGCGAGGCTTTCTTAACTCTCTCCGACGAAGCTTTCGCCCCTCTCGGTCTCTCAACGCAAACCCTTGACGACATCAAGGCCATTGGCAAAACCGAGGCTTCTCACGTAGTCCTCCTTCAGTCTGCCCTCGCAGGTAATGGCATCACACCTGTCCAAGAGTGCAAATACGACTTCAAAGGCGCAACAGCCGACCCAGCCGCCATGGTTGCAACAGCTGCTATCCTCGAGAGTGTAGGTGTCTCGGCCTACCTGGGTGCAGCGCCACTGCTATCTGACCCTGCTATCCTCGGCACCGCTGGCGCAATTCTCACTGTCGAAGCACGACATCAAACCGCCATCAGGATATTTTCTCAGGCAAAGGCAGTTCCTCAGCCTCTCGATACCGCCCTTGGACCTAGGGCAGTCTTCTCACTCGCCGCACCTTTCATCACGGAATGCCCTGAGGGTTCTAACCTCAAGATCGAAGCATTCCCTACTCTCGCTATGGCCGAGGGCCAGGACGTCAAGGCTGTAGCCATTGGAGCTAAAGTGAAGCTCGCCTCCGAAGCTGCCGCTGGAGCGACGCACTGTGGTTTCACTTCTGGAGGTCAGCTTCCCGGTGGAACCAAATTCACTCCCTTCACCGAGGGAGAGGGCTGTGAAGTTCCTCAAGGAGCTGCGGGTGTTGTCTACCTGACCTTGACCAGTGCTGGACCTTTGGAGGGCGTTTTGTCAGATGACATTACTGTGGCTGGGCCTATGGTACTGACCCTTTCTTAAGGGAGCTGTCGAGAGGCGTTGATGGTGGTGGTATGGTAATGATATCTTATATCCAATATAGACTGGAGAGCTTCTCCGCTCATATCAATATAATCGCTAGTCACTTATAAGTCCCTTGTGAAGCCACCAGTTGTGTAATCTGACTTTTTTTCTCTTTTTTTTTCTTCCGTGTTGAATTGTGTGTGAAAGCAGTTTTCCTGACTGGATATAGTCCGCATGTTGGATATCACCAACCTGGCTATATCTACAAGGATCTTAGATGCTTCGTCCAACGACTTCTGGAGCCGCCTGGCTGGGAACGTGTAACCATGCTCTCCAGCACCACCTCCTCACTCGACCTCAACCCATCCCCACAAGTCCTGCTGGCAATTCCTTCGACACGTCTGCTGATGTGATAACTTTTATGTCCCTGACTTTTTATGCCGCCCGCGCCAACGCCGCTAAGTCTGCAAGACGGTTTGTGACCAAAGGGGCCACGCTCAAAGACCACTAATGTAACATTTGTTATATATGCCTCAAGCCTCGGCCATGCTCTAGAAAGGTCGCGCCTCGAGGTATGCCTGGGCCTTGGTCCATGCATCCTTATCTTCCGCACGTAGCTCGTCCGTACCCAGCATTTTAACGCCCTTAACGAGTGCATCGATAAAGTCACGCACGACACGGAAGTCCTTAGTTAGTGACTCGGCATATGGCACGAATGTCTTAGGGAACTCTTCCAGCCGCTGTAAGCGAGCCTCCTGGTCCCCTCCAGCTTCATCGTCATCGAAGAAGGTTCGCACAGCAATGCCGAGGCCAATATCGGGCTCTTGATGGAAAGGTAACCTATTCAAGTGTTAGTGGTGTCTAACGAAAGATGAGGAAGAACAGTACCGTCGACTGATTTCCAATTGATCATCCCTTTCACGCTTCGACTGCCCATACAAGAACATCGAAGCCACAATCGCCTCAACCAGATCTCGATCAGCTTCTCTCACTGCTGATGCCAAAGACCAGAAGCTGAGTAGGTTTTTGTTAAGCGGACCAGTGTATCCATAAACCTGGTGCCGAAGCTTCAACAAGGAAGCACACTCGCTGATCAGCACAAGAGTTGCTTTTTCTTCATAAGAACCTTTCCGGGGCAGGCCAGCCTGGCCTTCAGTGTGCCTCCCCGTCAAAAGTCCGTTTCGGATGAGTTCAAATGCAACCAGAGCTGCTTCCGGAAGACCAGTCACGTCTGGGTGGTTCTCCTTCGCGTCCTGGAGAATCAGAAGAGTATTGGCCAAGGCATTACCCCAAGGCGTAAGTTTGTGCTCATCATTGGCGTATCCTCTCAGGTGGAGGAATCTCCAGATGGCCACCGAGGTCACCATATCTGTGCTGTCGATTCCCTTTATAGGCCTCTCCTTGGGGAATGTCTTGGCCACAAAGTCGGAGTTAACAAGTGACAAGACTTCCAGCGACACGGGGCCCGCGAAATCATCAGGGAAGAATGCACGAAGATCCTCATCCTTGACACTCCAGCTGGCAACCCTTTGGGAGGGAGGAGGGTTCACAGAGCGATGGTTGATCGTGTAAGAATATTTGGGGTCAAACCAGACACGAACTTTGATGTTCTTGTGCTGGATACCTCGGTGAAGTCTGGGGATCAACAGAGAAAGGGCTTGCTCTTTGATGGGCACTATTCTGTCAGTGATGAGCTTTTTGTATTCGTCCGAGGCAACTCCGTCCAAGGTTGGCTGGATGAGAAGTTGACCGTGGGTAATGTTGCCCAGTAGACGGGGCCCAATCAAGCCGGTGTTGAGGTAGTGAAATAGCTCAGCCGGCAACTGAAGGCCGAGGTACTCGTGGTTGTCACTAGTCAAGTGCTCATAGTCGTTTACACGGATCTCGCCACTCTCAGCGATGTAAACGAAGTGGTGGACAACCATTCTTGCCTTGCGATACTTGTCAAGCCAACCAGAGTCCTTGCTTTGGAGTATATCATTGAAGCTGGCGCAAGCAGTTGCGACACTGTTTTCTGCAGTCCTCAGCAAGTTGGCTGCAGTCGAAATATTGTAGTCCGAGTATATAGAGCTTTCCAGAAGAGCAGGGAATGGAGGCAGGAACGATGTGCCGGCCATGAGAAAGGAGTCGATGAACCTTGGCTCACTTGCAGTAGGTGTAAGACTGCGCATAACCTTCTTCTTCGAGATAGCAGAAACGGTCTTGGCTTCCCAGTCGAATGCCCGAATGACAGAATCCTTGACAGGGTATAGAAGAAGTTCCTGAGAGCCCATCACACCCGAGCATTGGTCTGAGTCGATCATTTCGAAATAGGCGAGCTATTACTATCAGAATGAGAGTGACAAGTCGTAAAGTTCATGAGATACGCACCTGAGCGCACGCAGTGTAGGGCGCAACCAAGAAGTGAAGTCCACGGTTCTTCAGAACCGTTTGAAGCAACGGGTAAAGATTTTGAATGCGAAAAGCACCTATCATGACCTCACGTTAGGTCGATTTCCGAAATTGAGAGCCAAAGTTTACCAACCTGGGCTAGTACCGAAGGTCGTCACCGCCTCCTCAGCGGCCCCCTGAGAGTACAAGTTCCAGGCCTCATCTGTCTTCTTGTTGGCCTTGAGGCCACGATCCAGAGTGATGTCATCTTGGCCGGTTACGGGCTGGCCATCGAAAACGAAGAAAGGGACAATCTCGGACTTTGCCCAGAGATCGAGGTTCTGGTTTATGTGTGCTTCGACCCCAGTAAGGCCACCGAGAGCTGACAACAGAGGTTCATGGGCAGGAGGGGTTTCGAGAAGCTGGCTCAGGTAATAGGTTGCATCAACAGCGATGGCGCATCCTTCGAGCTCGGAGATGTCGTGGGTGCTATATTGCTTTCTGTTAGCGCGAATATGTTTGGGAGAGCAAGTCGCATGGCACATACGAAACCTGGTCATTAATCCAGGAATCCTCAACAAGGACTGAATTGAGAGTTAGCATAAGCTACAGAAAAAAAAGTGTAAGGGTATCGCAGAAGAAAACCAACGGAGAATGTATTCATCGTGGTGTGATCTTCTCTACGATGAGCAGCAGCTGTTGGGGTAACCAATCTACATGCCAGGACTGCAATTGACTTTGCATATGGCCTAGAAGCTTCCCCATGAAGGATTGAGCTCTCACAGGCTGCGTTAACCACACTGGGAAGGTTTTGGCAGCAGCAGTATGTATTGCAAGCTGTACAATTCCAAGCTGAACCCTGAACCAGACTGACTCTGGACCAAGCCTGCTAGGGTGAGACTCACATGGCATCTCGAAAGACTCGCAGCAACTCGGAAGCCCGTGCTATAGTTCCTGTACTGGAGATCGGCGAATGAGGATAGTTTGCGGCAAGGTATCGTCGGCCGATTGAAGAGCGAGGAGTAGAAATCGCAGGCGTTGGCGGCAAGGCGTTGATGTTGACAAGATATGGCGGGGTTGAAAGGAGGACCGTCAAGTGAGTTAAGGTGCTGGCTTGGGATCGAAAGGCGCAGCCGGTGAAGAGGATAGGCACCAGGCGGGCCGTCGGAGGGGTCGTGATGATGACAGTGAGAGACCGACGTAGGGCGGAGGGAGGAGGAGAGAAAAAGGAGGATTTTACTATGAATTTTCGTGGGGAAAATGAAGGTTTGGCGAAGGTATCTTCAGCTTCAAACGGACAGCTGGTGGAAGACGTGACAGGAAAGTTTGGCGAGTTACAGTGGCAGGGACGTACCTAAACGGTACCTGCCTACCATGCCACACGATCACCAATGAAGCGACCTACGGGCGGGACGGGTCATTCTAACCGCTACCATCCATTGCCAACCAGGGGAAAGAGCGGGCAGCCCTTATGTGTGGCTAGTGGGAGTGGAGTTATCTAGGTCTGTCCACTGATGTGGCTGTGCAGAGCCGAACTCGCCCGAGATACTTACAGAGAGGTACCTACACTCAGTTACCATTACGAATAAGGATGGCGGGGGATATGACGCTTTTTGTAACAGATAAGGAATCAAAACCTCTAATTGCCCGCTACTTAGAATCCCATCTGACCGTAAAACAAGGCCGTCTCTTGTATTTCAGCTTCCATCCCACTGTTCATTGCAAAGCGCAACCATGAACTATCCCATGCGAGATAAAGCTGCTCACTTCAAGCGGCCTCTGGGACCAGACCAGAACACGGCCAACATACCAATTATTGACATTTCTGCTCCTGAGGCCGACCAAAAAGAAGTTGCTAAACAGCTTGTCGACGCTGCTGAAGAGCATGGGTTCATTTACATCCGCAACCTGGGCCATGACATTCAAGCTAAGGACATTGATGGGGCGTTTGATCTGGTGAGTAAAGAGAAGCAGATCTGTTTGAATTGATCGGGAGTTCAGGTGGCTGAGAATACGGACACAGGCCAGAAAGACATTCGAATGCCCCTTGGAAGAGAAGCAAAGGTGCACGATCCAGACCAACAACCGGGGGTGGTCTGGCATGCACTCCGAAACACTGGACCCTAAACATCAAAAGGTACATTTGCGTGGTTCTTCAAACTGAGTACTTTATTGGGATAAAGGGCTAATTCTGTTAACTTAGGTCGGAGACTTCAAAGAGTGAGCAGCTTCCGAGGCATTCCATGATATGTCACTAAAATAGCAATTGCAGAGCCTTCAACTTTGGCGAGTTCGCTGATGGGAAAGCTCAACAGCCTCTCCCATCTGACCTGGTTCCTGATGAGCCTCAGATAAGTGCTTTTGCTAACTCCTGCCACGACCTCTGCCAGAAGCTTCTTTACCTGCTTGGTTTAGGTCTCGGTGTAAGTCGATTCCACAATAATCAGCCTCAAGCATTATCTTATAGTAAAACCAGGTCGACGATTTCTTTTCCTCTGCCCACAACACAGAAAAAGGCGCTTCGAGCTCTATCCTTCGCTTTCTGCGTTATCCGCCCCCGGAAACTACTGCACACTCCGAAGATGACATTCGTGCTGGAGCTCATTCAGATTACGGCTCTATCACTCTCCTCTTCCGTCTAAAGGGACAAGCAGGACTCGAAGTTCTCAGAAAGGATAACGTCTGGGCACCTGTTCCTGTGTCTCCCGCTGGAACTGAGCAAGACCCCAGCCCGCCCATTCTCATCAACATCGGCGACCTGTTGTCATACTGGACGAACGGGCTCTTCCGCAGCACTTTACACAGAGTTGTCTTCCCCTCAGAAGGCAGCTCCGGGGTACAGGGGGAGACAAGCAATGGGCCGAGATATTCAATCGCATACTTTTGTCACCCTGTCGGGGCCGTACCTCTTGAGCCTGTCCCTAGCGAAAGAGTAAAGAACTTTACTCCTTCCGAGGGAGTGTCCAGCGAGAACCCTTATGCTACAAGAAGGGTCATGACAGCCGATGAGCACCTATTTATGAGACTCAAGGAGAGTTACGGCGATCTGTATGAGGAAAAATCATAGTTATATAGTTACATCACACATGATAGAACAGCACAATCGTTTTATCGATATAGTGGTTTGTTAATCATAAGCTAGTGTGGTCTGCCGGCCGTGTGTTTTGATCCCGGATCTCCCATCACTGGGTTATTGGTTTTAGATAGTATGAAGCTTCCAACGCATGCGCCAGTCAGAGAACCCATGAAAGTATTTCTCTTCGATAGACTCGTCTTCTTGTGTCGTAAGATAGGACAAAAAGCGCCAGTCGTGAATTTCGATGTGCGTGCCTTTGTTGAAAAGATTGTCCTTACGAAGCTCCTTGAACTTTGCCGCCAGGTGCTTGAACGCAAGTTTGTTGTCGCTATCGCACACAACATAAGCCTTTGAAGGTGTGGTGGTTTTCCCTTTCTGTCTGGCCTCCTTCTCGGCTTTGAGCCATGCGTCGATCTCAGTGACAGGGGTGTCAACACCATGCTGAGCGAGAAGTGTTTTCGCTTCTTCTTTCATGGTGAGAAGGCCTGGCGAAACGAGTACAACTGCCTTTGCAAGCATGCAGTGTTCGCCAGCATGCACACATTGTCCTTTCAATGCCGTTGTTACTTTGGTCATTGGCGGTTTCAGGCGCTCAGGTTCGGTCTCTGTCTGAAGCTCGCCAGTGCCTGGGTCGATGATGAACTGTACGACTTCAGCGATAACCCCATCGGAGTTGCTGGACTCTTCAAAAAAGCTCTCACTCGGAGACGCAGGACAACATGGTGCGCAAGAAGACATTGCGGGCTGAGGTCGCAGGTTGTTGTCCCTGTCGGCAAGAGGCGCGCGTGGTTGTGAGGCAAGATCAATGTGTGGGGAGTCTTTTTGGCTTATCGATGATTCACTGCTACTCTTCAAGCGTTTGTGCTGCGAAGTTGGTACAGTGGAGGGCAGGCCACGTTTGTGTTTGGTGCACAATTTCGTGCGTGACGATGGGTCAGCTCGCGAAGATGGCGTAGCTGTTATGGAAGGCAAATCCAAAGATGGGACCCTGTGAAGTCTTTCGCTTCGGCCGCGGCAAGGGGTGACTTCAACTGGTGATTTGATAGCCAAAGGCGACGTTGGAGACCGCGTAGAGGTGGTATTTTGTGTTGATTTGCGAGGCGACGGTGTTGGCATAGTAGTCACTGTCAACTGGCTTACAGCGTCAACAGCAATACCACGAGGGTCAGCTGCTTCGAGTTTTGCAATCCACTGCAGATTCTCCTGGCTATCTTCTAGTCTGCCGGCAGTGGTAGCCTCCTTTGCCAATACCTGCAACTGCTCGAAAGACATGGTATCAGTGAAGTCCCGGTCAAAGTGAACTTTGGTCACCGAAGGGAATCTGAGGCTCCAGAAGCCAGTATTTCCCACTCGGTCAAAACTGAAGCATTTCAAATCAAAAACCAATGGCCTGGTGAATATGAACGTCGGCGGTGACCCTTGTTCAACTCCGGGAGCCAGTTTGAGAGCCAGTGCCCCATTGTCGTCGGGAGAAACAGGCTCCGGATTCGAATAAGTGACAACTTCTCTCAGGAGAGTCTCGTTCAGCTCTACAACATTGACAATGGTGAATTCTGGTGTAGCGCCCCAGCTTTTGACTGCTTGTCTGTTGTCCAGGCAGCCAACATAGAAATGAGTCCACTTGAGCCCTGGAATTCGGTAACTCAACGCTTTTGCTGGGTCATATCTGGCACCGACAACCGAAAAGTCGCCAACATCTCCAAAATTGCCAATATATTCCTTCTTGAGCTTGATACAGCAGCTCGAAAATTTCCGTCTCTGGTCTGTAAAGTCGAAATATGGCTCATCTGGTTTCAAGACAAGACCTTCTTTCCGAGCCAAAATAACCGTGGCAAAAGCTTTACGAAGAGTTGAGGCTCGCAGAGGCTGTCCAAAATCAATAACTTGGCGTGGAACAAGGCTCGCCCATCCTTTGCGGCAACAGACAAGATTGGAGAGAATCTTAAATCTCTCCGAATGCCTCAAGTTGATCAGAGACTGATCTTCCAAGAGCATAACGTCATAATAAATTATCATGAGGTGTTCCTGGGGCCCAGGCCTAGGAGTTTAGTAACACATGGCGGAGAAAGCACGGAAAACTTACAAGGAATCTAGTTCTGTGTTCAAAAACCTCCCTCTTCGTGACACATGCTTCCTAATACTATGAAACGGAAGCATCTTCTCCTGCTGTTCTATGTTAAAACTGGCTCAGAAGATGAACGAAGATACCTACAGAATCGTCATATACAACCAACTCCCCTTCCAATATGCACGCTTTCTTGACTCGGGCATCGGGCTGTCCAATCTTAAGTGATTCTAGTATAATCCTGTCCAGGGGGTCAGTTCGTATATGCGTGTCGTGTCATTTGTACTGACCCGTGAAGTGCTGCTCTGTCTTCTGTGCTATCTTTGCCGCTCTTCGAGAATATCTGTATGCATTGATCCCCTTTGCTTGGATCGACGTGAATCTGACAGTATTCGCCGTCAATCTTTTCCTCCACGCTCATGCGTCCATGACCCATATCTAGACAATGTTTAATGCTGCGCCCTTTGACCCAAGGTTGTCGTCCAATTTTGACACCCAGTTGAGGTTTGATTGTGCCCATAATCTGTTCGCGAGGTGTTTTGCGCCCACAATTAGGAAGAAGCCTTCCTCGTATTGCTTGAAGGGAAGTGATCGCAGTAGCAAAATCATCCTGTATCTTCAGAACGCAAGGCAAAACAGGATCGCACAGTCGATATATGAGGTGCGGGTCTAGAGCGAGCGGCTGGTAGCTTTTCAGAATGAGCCGCGTGAACCATTTTGCCTCTGTTGCGCTCAACCTTCTGTAGAGGCTCTCAAGATCAGTCATGTTGCTTGGGGTCAGGCTAGCCTGTGAGGCACGAATCGAGGGGGAGCTCCATTTTATTTTGGCTGCGAGAGAATGAAGAAGTTGGTCAATTTCTTCAACTGTGACAAGGTTTTTATGATCGTAGCTAGGGCTTGGCTAACATATGATTAGCTGGCACCTTCCAAGCATCGGGTATCCTATACTCACTGTGACGGTGAGGATGCGAAAAACACAGTATGCCAAATCGACACCAGACCCTGGCTGGCGGTACTGAGCTAACTCCTTAATCCTTGACGAGCCAAGTAGATATGCACGGCCAATGATTCTCTCCAAGCGGGCAGACTGAATACAGTAAACTCGATCGGTCCTTTTTTCAGGAAGAAGTGTCGATAACAGCGCCGGGAGGTCCGTATCGTGAGCGTCTACGTAATCGCGATAGCGAGTGAACCACTTTGTGACAGTGTTGGAGCAACTCTTCTTACTAAGAGAAAGAAGGAAGGATTGCTCGAGCAATTCACAGACCAGAGAGAATGGAAGCGGCATGCTGAGAGTTCATTATGCCTCAGTTGTCATCCAAAAAGGTGTCGTTGTACGAGAACAAAGAACAGCTCACGATATAGATTTCGCAACTCGGATGAACGGGTGGAGGTGTCCAATTGTTCATACTAAAGTGGAGAGAACAGGCAGCACAGTCACGGCATGAGAGCGAAAGATGCCATTCTCACAAGCTTCCAACAATGGGCAGTGGCAGTGCCTGAGGTGGTTTGGCGAGGAATGTAGTGAGTGAGATGAATTACTTGTCAAACAGTGCTGAAACCTGCCCTGAATGGCCAGAACGCGAAGTTGGCGCGAAAGTCACATGATGTTTCAATCAAGAGTCTTCTGGAAACCCCGATTAATCTTCACATCCACCATACCAGTTATTGTTTAAGAGAATTTCCTTGCGCGTTGTATAATGGGTTATATGAGCAAGAAAAATGATACAAAATCTTGAATAAGTTTCAAATGTCGTTTGCGTATTGTGCCAGTATATTCAAAGCTGAGCTATAAGACCATCCTCTTCAGGCACTATCATTATTATGAGAAAATCTAGAAGTCTGGAATGGAAGGACCACCTAATAAAGCGCAATAGTCAATTAGCTACTCCGTACGCAAGTCAGCTTACGAGTAATTATTGCGAACATACATACTACTTACTACCTTTGTTATTACGTGCAGGATAGGCGACGGTTCTACAGTAAAAGTTGTGCTCAACTCTTCTCGATCTGCAATTTTAATGCAAGGTCCGCTGCAGGCGCAAAGACAAAAATGGCAAAGACCCCTGACCCTCCTGGATGACAGGGTCACGGGAACGAATTCTCCATCGTCGTGACAAACGGCGACCCGTCAGCCAGGCCAGTCAGTCCAAGATGCTTCAATACCAAGTACCTAGCCAATGATGGCAAGGAGATCATCGTCAGAACTTTGTTTGACAAAGGTAACTATGGGCAGCGCAGATGCTCGTTTGTCCTCGTCTTGGAACCCTTGCCTGGCAAGAAACGATCTAACGCACAAGCTACAGTAGTAGCCTGTCGAGCTGGCAGTTCTCTTGACAACGGACGGGTCAGAGGGAGAGGGTAGCAACGGGGCGGTCTGATGAATCGAGCATCAAAATAAATTGAAACCAAGAAGTTGAGATCGGATGGCCGACCTTATGAATCAAACTGGGGATATGATCCACTTCCCACAAGGCGTTGAGCTCGCTCGATGGATGGCGCAAAATGGGGCAGCGACAGCTGGTTGTCGGGGTCAGGTGGTGCGATTGTCACAACCTGTATGAGACCTGCGGGTTGGGCCGTAAGTGCAACATTTTGGGTCAGTTCGCATGGTACTGGCATGGTGTTTTGATGGATTGGATGCCGAGGATCCATCCATTTGATTGATTTATGAGTCTCCCTCCATAACTGCCTAAGGTGCCTACCTATGTAAACAAACATGCCCCAATTTCCAACACCCGAGACCCTGCTGCAGTAACATCTACAATTCGTGTCCAATACTTTACCTTGCCTGTCCAGATTAATCGATGATCAAGTTCACGCGCCCCGAGCATTACACGCATTACATCCTCAATTACAGGACCACTCGCCTACTGAGACGTACGGATACTTACTTGACAGGGCTGCCGTCGAGTTGGCCATTCTCCCGGAATTGCGTATTATCAACAACATCCAGTTTCTTTTGCTTTTTCGACATCCCATATTTGCATCCCGTAAACGCCTGTTCGGGAATATTCGCTCATTACACTCTTGATCCTTTTCTTGCCGTCAACCCTCTTTTTCATCAATATTCTTTCCTTCTATATCATCTTTGTTTCTAGCTCATAATTACAGTCTTACTTCTCGCGACAATTGATTCACTCAACGGCTCCTTATCGTCCGCCCCATCCGCTTAACGTCATCTTGTCCCTTGTTGGGATTCGTCAATTTGTTCCCGTCTGGCCCCTGGCAAGCCTCATCGTCCCTGGCTTCCTAATTCGAGAAGTTCCTGCGTCCTCCCCAGCATCCAATGGTGTTCCACTGCCCGCTCCTATTCTCCTGACAACGCCCCCCAGCCCGGTTCGAGTTCAACGCCCGCCCAGTCAACGTCTACCCAAGTTAGGGGATCTAGGGGCGTGCTACCGAACGCCTGCAGGACTCTATTTACGACAACAACCACTAAGCAATTGGTGGACACTCCACCAAAATCCACCCCGGTTGGCGCCATACCCCATGCGAAACTTGATACACCACTAAGCCACCCACAATCCACCTTGGACTCGCCTCTCTCCTTATTCTGATGAGCGGCTTTCTCTTTCAAATCTGCGTTGCCCATCGTTGCTCGTTCGCTCTCTTCGATGATCACCGCCATCTGACACAGTTACACCATAGAGCGCTCACTACCAGAGCCGCTGTCGCTGCTGTCGCCGCTGCTAGATTGCGGCGCCTCAGAGCCCGAAGAGCTCCAGCCACTCATTTCCATTCTCAGTTACATTTCAATTTGCATAAAGGCCGAAGACTGCTCGGCCTCCGTTCCCTACTTTTCAATAAGTTGAATCCCTACGAGTTAATAGGCATGGCCTCGCAACAACAAGCTATCCGTCGACGCTACTCAGTTGCCGACCGCCTGCCAGCGGATTTAGTTCTTCCCACCACTCCATCCAACTCGAATTTTGAGACAGTCCCTAATTCAACCATTTCTGCTACTGCTTCTCCGACTGTCGGTGTCGCTGCCTCTGTCAAACCTAGGTACGCTCCTATTCGTGACCTGGCTCAGGGGTCCAACCCGAGACACCTTAATTCCTCCTCGCACAACCGCCAAGGCAGCATGACTTCAACAGCAGCAATGCCTTCCCGACCGGTTTCAAAGGACGAGAGCGTCCCTTTCAGACGTGGCCACGCTCGTGCCAAATCTAGTGTATCCAGCATGAACCGCCAGGTCAATCGACTCTCTTTGACGCTTCCAATTGCACCCCCAACAAGCGACCCTTCCCGGCCAACGCCGACTTCTGCTTCCATGTCATCAGTTCCCCCGACACCGATCGAATCTGGCATTGCCACTCCTGCTGACACAAATGAGTTCATCATCGCAATTGCTGCTCAGGAGAGACGTGTGCTCGAATTGCGTGAAGAATTGTCGCGTGCCGAGGCAGATCTAACGTTGCTCAAGAAGAAATGGACCGCACAAGAGAAGACGGGCGACAGCACCCCTCTCGAAGCCTTTCGCAGTCCCATTTTGTCCTCAGAGGATGATGGTGCATCTATCCGGCGAAGTGTCGACTCAGATCGCAGGAAATTGTTACAGCAGACTCAGAACCCAGCGACTCCCAACCGCAGAAGGGTTCTCCGTGGCGGACACACAAGAACCCTATCTCTGCTATCGCCGGCGAAGCCAGAAGCAGGATTCTCATTATACCAGGATCGCGATCACGAGCACGAGCAAGTGAAATTACCTTCGATAGAGCGCAGGACCGCTCAATTAACAAACCCTCATTTATCTAAGCGTGCCTCGTGGCAGCCACGCACCCAACAAAACGGCCCAGTTGTTCCACAGATTGTCGAGGACTTTAAGTTGGGCCTCAGGGCTTTTGTCGAGGACATACGCCAGATTACAGTCGGGGATGAGCCTATTAATGGTCAGCCCTTGCGTTCCAACAGTGTCAACGAACGTGGCGAAGTCAATCGAAACCAGGATACCATACGACCGAATCGTCCACTACGGCCCAAAGTGAGCACAGTATTTGAACCACCTCACAACAACTCGGATACAACTGAGGCCAAATCCTCAACCTCGACAAGCACAGCATCGAAAAGGCCCGAACTACCTTCTCGGAGCAAAACAAAGTCCAAAAACAAGTCTTTCTCTTGGCAGCCTCTTGGATTTGATTCGATGGATGATAACGACTGGTCTAATTGGGAATCTCCGGCCTCATCTTCCAAGACGTCTCGCTGGAGTGGATCTACTATTGGCAGCGGTGGACTGGACGATATGTCTGCTACTTCAGATGAGGGAGAACCTGCGGACTCACCCTCGTAAGTCACTTGGCATTGAAATTGAGATGAAATGAAATGCAACTGAAGATGCTAACCTGGCATAGTAAGAAGAAGTCGACCGGTTACGAAACCCCTTTGCTCTCCCCCAAGCTAGAAGAGCTTCTACCCAATATCGTCAACCAGTTCTCGCCCAGTAACATCAAACGCACCGCGACAACCCTGATGGATGAGTGGGAGAAGTCCCTCACGGACCCCAACTATCCTCATAGGACACAAAACAAGGAAAACACTGCTTAGCCAATCTTTACCCCAACCTTTCGCAGCGCATCTATATTATGTTGAGCATACTTTTGAAGCGATTTGCACACATTTCTTTACATAAAAATGGCCAGGCGTACACAGTTTCGGTATCACAGACCGGTATTTGATGATGAAGAAAGAAAGAAAGAAAGAAAGAAAGAAAGAAAGAAAGAAAGAAAGAAAGAAAGAAAGAAAGAAAGAAAAGAGGCTCGG